TCCTCACTGAAAAAGTCTTCAGTAAGGACACTTTCACCACCTAATCCTGCTAAGTGAAAGAAGCTGATTGCACCAGCTGCCATCTCTCTAATACCACCTGCCTTGAGAGCCAGGCTTCATAGTCTTCAGGCTGGGCACTCCAAAGCAATCCTTAGTCACCTAGTATGAGAGGGCTGTGTGGACAGAGCCTGATGTCTGTGGGAACCAATTAGCAGTCTAGTTTTAGGGTAGACTAGATTACCTGACCCTGCCATCCTCATCTTCTACAGTGCCTGTTGATTACTTTCTGGAAGTCATTGTTGAAGCCAGAAGTATGTATTCCACTAGTTTTTGTTTATTCTTGTTTTTTGGTGGGAGTGGGGTTTATGTTCTTGTTTTTCAGTGGGACTGGGTTTTGAACTATGGGTGTTGTGCTTACAAAGCAGGCACTCCACCACTGGAGCCACTCCTCCTTTCCTCCACTAGTCAGTGTGAAGTAGATCTGCAGAATCACCCTTTTCATTTTCAGGCTCTCTATAGCTGTAGGGACTGTTATTGTTTCATCTATTGGAAAGAAAAGTGGGCACCAAAGACAGAAACAACTAGGTGAAGGTAATGGATACGTTCATTAACGTAAAACAGTGTTTTTGATGTTTGGGTACAAACAGTTCTTGGCTGTGCTCAGTATCACAAAAGCCATCTAGAAGCATATTTAATTTGTGTTAGTTATAACAACTATATTTGAAGGTAGGCATTTTCACACTTTAAAAAATTGTGAAAAAGCTGGAAAATTTGTAATCTGCCTCATGTGCATATGACATTGTTCAGAGTGGCTCCCTAGGCATCCTGATTTGAAATCATCAAGAGTCTTGAACAAGAAGAGCCTGTCAGTTGTGAGAGGATTTGTGAGGTTTCTGTGACTATCAGAGCTCTCAGTTGCTAAATTCAACTTCTCTCTAAATCTTTTGTTTTTGAGATTTTTAGAAAACTACATTAGTTGTATGATTAATACTTTACTTTGATTACCAACCAACCATAGACAGTGCTCTTCCTGTGGTTTCCAGGGAGCTCAGACAAAGCAGGTGGCTTTTGTCACCACAAAGGACAGTGAAGGAGCACTGATGTTTTACTGAGTAGTGACCTTATTAAATATTAATACTGTGATGAGCTATATTTGGGGATGTTTAGCCGAGATTGTTGTACTGAAGGCTTTAATACTGACAATAAACTTTTATTTTTGGATATTCATGATCTGACTGGGAGGCTTGTATTTCTAAACTTTTGTCTCTTTTTGATGGGTGTTGGTGATCAACAGTGGTCAAGTTGACCAATATCCTGAGATGGAAAGCATTTACACCTGGAGCTCAGGTTCTTGCTGAAGTACCTTTAAATTTCAACTTTATTCTCACCTGCTAATTTGTATTTTATGAAAGATTTATTGCAGTTCTCACTTCAGCAGCACATGTACTGAAGTTGGAATGATAAGAAAAAATTAGCGTGCCCATGCAAGAGGATGACAGGCAAATTTGTGAAGCATTCCCCACATTTTAAAAAAGATTTATTGCAGATTATACAATCATATTAAAATTCATAAAATAGAGGAGAAAAAAACTAGTAGTATGATTTTTCAATGTTTTCTTTATCTTTTTTCTACCTATGTTTTTTTTCTTGTAGGAGTGTGGGAATGTGAACTGTTTCAGTTGCATGCAGAAACCTAATTCTGCCCTAAGGAAAGAGGGGAATTGTATTGTAAGGAATGGGGTATCTCTGAGCCCAAGGGAGGAGCTTGCGGAGGGCTGAGAAGCAGCCAGAGTGTTTGTGCTCTCTCCAGTCTCTAAACCACATTTTCTCCTCAAGTCTTCCTGTTTTTTCTCTTCTTATGGTAACTTAACTATTTTGCTCTGGACCATGCAGCTTCCTCATGTCAGGTGGGAGCAGATCCAGATGGGGCTTGTTACCTTCTAGATCCTGTGAGCTAAAATAATTTTAGCCATTCCCAAATGGTGGATCCTGAGATGGGGCAGGTACCACTCTTGAGGCGCTGTTTTCCTAACTGGATTTGTACTTTAAGATTTGTTTCCTGGGCCCAGGGGTAAAATAAAAATCAAGCTCTTCGGGTTGATCGAGTGGCTCAGGCTGTAGAGCACCTGCCTAGCAAGTGTGAGGCCCTGAGCTCAAACCCCAGTACCAACCCCCCCAAAAAAGGCAGACTCTTCTTCCTTAGGCTGGACTGCAGACTTTGCACAGAGAATAGACTGAGCAGGCAGCAGTAGTTTCTGTTATTTCTCTCCTTCCAGTGAATGGTGAATGGGCCTGGGCCTGGCCCTGGGCAAAGCAAAGGGCAGAACCTTCCCCCGCCTCCAGACAGCCACTCCTGAGAGATGGGATGAGCATGGTTCTGGCAGCTGTTCTAATACCACCTCCACACCCTGCCCCTGCCACCAGTGGGTCCCCCATTCTCCTCCTCCCTCCACCCCTAGGCAAAAGGAATGCAAGAACTGGAGTGTTTATCCTGCCACCTCAGGCTGTCTTGGAGAGAAGCCATTAGGCCTTCCTTTTTAGGGGATTAACTAGGTGCCATCCTGGTTTTTATCTAGAGCGACCAAGCATTCTAGGGTCAGGTTCCCATGCACAAGTAACCTCTCAACCCTTTTGCGTTTATTACAAAAAGCCAGCTATACTCTTATATTTTAAAAATAACTTTTTTTTGTTTGTTTTTTGTTGTTGTTCATTTATTCACATGTGCATACATTGTTTGGGTCATTTCTCCATCCTGCCCCCCTTCCTCTCCCCCCCTTCCCCCCCCCTCAGTTCCAGGCAGGTCCTGCTCTGCCCTTATCACTAATTTTGTTGAAGAAAAGACAGAAGCATAATAAGGAAGACAAAGTGTTTTTCTAGTTGAGTTAAGGATAGCTATACAGAGAGATTCCTAACATTGCTTTCATGTACCCATATGTTACCACCCATGTTGATTCAACTCTAACTCAATGATCTTTACATTGGTTCCTGATCCCCTGCTCATGATAACCTCTGTCGTTTTAAGGTTTCTGTATTAGTTCCTCTGGAGTGGGGATATCAAACACTTTCATATTTTGGTTTTTCTACCTATTCCTATATCTCCCGTATGTGCTCTCCCCTTGTCATGTGATCCAAGTCCAACCACATTGCTGCATTTGCCCTAGATCTAAAGTCCAACATATGAGGGAGAACATACGATTTTTGGTCTTCTGAGCCTGGCTGACCTTGCTCAGAATGATCTCCAGTTCCATCCATTTACCTGCAAATGATAAGATTTCATTCTTTTTCATGGCTGAGTAAAATTCCATTGTGTACAAATATCACATTTTCTTGATCCATTCATCAGTAGTGGGGCATCTTGGCTGTTTCCATAACTTTGCTGTTGTGAATAGTGCTGTAATAAACATGGGTGTGCAGGTGCCTCTGGAGTAACCTGTGTTGCATTCCTTTGGGTATATCCCCAGGAGTGGGATTTGCTGGATCATATTGCAGGTCTATGTTTAGATTTTTAAGAAGTCTCCAAATTTTTTTTCCAGAGTGGTTGCACCAGCTTGCATTCCCACCAGCAGTGGATTAGGGTTCCTTTTTCTCCACATCCTCGCCAACACCTGTTGTTGGTGGTGTTTTTGATGATGGCTATTCTAACAGGGGTGAGGTGGAATCTTAGCGTGGTTTTGATTTGTATTTCACTTATGGCCAGAGATGGTGAGCATTTTTTCATGTGTGTTTTGGCCATTTGAATTTCTTCTTTTGAGAAAGTTCTGTTTAGTTCAGTTGCCCTTTCTTAATTGGTTCCTTAATTTTAAGAGAGTTTAGTTTCTTAATTTCTGGTTATCAGTCCTTTGTCTGATGTATAGCTGGCAAATATTTTCTCCTACTCTGTGGGCAGTCTTTTCAGTTCAGAGACCATTTCTTTTGTTGTGCAGAAGCTTTTTAATTTTATGAAGTCCCATTTATTCATCCTATGTCTTAGTTGCTGGGGTTCTATTGAGGAAGTCTTTGCCTATACCTGTTCCACAGTGTTTCCTGCTCCTTCCTGTAGTAACTTCAGAGTTTCAGGTCTGATATTTAGGTCCTTGATCCATTTTGAGTTGATACTAGTACAGGGTGATAGACATGGATCTAGTTTCAGTTTCTTGCAGACAGGTAACCACTTTTCCCAGCAACATTTGTTGAAGAGTCTGTCTTTTCTCCATCGTATATTTTTGGCACCTTTGTCAAAAATGAGGTGGGTCGAATCCAACAACACATCAGAAAGATCATTCACCACGGCCAAGTCGGCTTCATCCCAGGGATGCAGGAGTGGTTTAACATACGCAAATCTATAAATGTAATACAGCACATCAATAGAAGCAAAGACAAAAACCACTTGATCATCTCAATAGATGCAGAAAAAGCCTTTGATAAGATCCAACACCACTTCATGATAAAAGCTGTAAGAAAACTAGGAATAGAAGGAATGTACCTGAACATTGTAAAGGCTATATATGACAAACCTACAGCCAACATCACACTTAATGGTGAAAAACTGAAACCATTCCCCCTAAAATCAGGAACGAGACAAGGGTGCCCACTATCCCCACTCCTATTCAACATAGTACTAAAAATTTCTAGCCAAATAATTAGGCAAAAAGAAGAAATAAAAGGAATACAAATAAGTGAAGAAACTGTCAAAATATCCTTATTTGCAGATGATATGATTCTATACCTTAAAGACCCAAAAAACTCTACCCAAAAACTCTTAGACACTATAAACAGCTACAGTAAGGTGGCAGGATACAAAATCAACTTACAAAAATCATTAGCTTTTCTATACACTAACAGTGAACAAACTGAGAAATAATATATGAAAACAATTCCATTCACAATACCCTCAAAAAAAAAATCACGTACCTAGCAGTAAATTTAACAAAGGATGTGAATGACCTCTACAAGGAGAATTACAAACTCCTGAAGAAAGAGATGGAGGAAGACTACAGAAGATGGAAAGATCTTCCGTGAACATGGATCGGTAGAACCAACATAGTTAAAATGGCTATACTACCAAAAGCAATCTCCATGCTTAATGCAGTTCCCATCAAAATCCCAATGACTTTCATAACAGAGATTGAAAAATCTACCCTAAAGTTCATTTGGAAACACAAAAGACCGTGAATAGCCAAGGCAGTACTCAGCAAAAAGAGCAATGCTGGAGGTATCATTAAAAATAGCTTTTATGCCAAAATTCAAACTGTTAAAAAATAAGCAAGTTCCATTGGCCTGCTTTTAATTCAAGACACACAAGTGAAACCAGCTAATTTGTGTGATAACATAGTGACAAAAGAAAACAAAATCTCATTTCAAGGGGGCATTGCTCATTTCAAAGAAACCTTACCTAGGAAACCTTACTAGCTATTACGCACACATGTGGGAATGCTCATGGCCACTGCCATAGAAACCATGTGGCAAGGTTCAGAACTAGTGAAGCCAGACGATAGAGGGACAAAAATCTGTCTAGTGTAATTATAACCACAACATACACCACATTTTGACTTCTGTATCACTAGATTTATATATATATATATATATATATATATATATATACACATACATATATATGTGTATGTGTGTATACACATATATATAGAATTTTTCTGTATTGCAGATTTTTCTAAGTTCTGTGTTAATGTTTATGTGACATCTTATTTAGCTGTGTCTTAATTTATTTTAGCCTTTTGGATATTATTGGAATTTTGTTTTTTTCTGCTGTTTCTTTTTTGAATAAATAGGACATAATGAGAATCATTGTGCCTACAGCTTCTTCCACATCTGTAATTATTTCTTCAGGGAATAAAAGTAGAATTATAGAATCTATGAGACTGAGAACTTTTTTGTGCTTTCCAGAAAGATCATGCTAACTTACACTTTTCAATGCAACCAGAGATGGATAAAGATAATTTCACAGCCTTTGGTTTTCTCTTTAAAATGTTCTATTTTTTTAAATATATAATTCTTTGAGCAAAAAAGGTACACTTTAAGTTTTGATCATAATTGAGGAACAATTTGGAGTTGGACTTGGTTTCCTTTTGTAGCATGTCTTTATTGGAATCTTGATATTGTATCATATAAATTATTTATATAATGAAAGCTGTTTTTCCTATTTTGTTTTAAATATTTTTCCCTAATTGTTTTTTAAAATATAAATGTGGAGAAAAGCTGGCATTCTTTTCTATCATGGAGTCTTATGAGCTGACGGAGTTTTAGAGAGTAAAAAGATAGAACCTGAGAGAAGGAAGTCTGAAGGCTGACCAGATAGTCTCCCTATGTGTCAGTGGAAGCTGTCCACAGATTGTTTCAGAATTTCTGGCCTTGTCATGTTAGGTTATGAACCTTTCTGTCTGTGGCTAGGATTAGCACTTAGATAGAATAATGTAACCTGGGTCTAATCCTGACCCACCTGTTCCCTAGATTGTGCCCTTGATGGGAATGTAGGCCCTCCAACCTCAGTTTCTTCACCTGTAAGACTGGGGATATTATGAAGGATAACTTTGGGGGTAGAGGTCTGTGATATGTACATGCAAAAGTTGAAGAAGAATTGTATTGACATGAAGATTGTTCTGTATCCTGTTACAGATTTTTGTAAGTACCAGCACAGTGACACTGCCTGAAACCTTGCTGTTTGTTTCAACCCTGGATGGAAGTTTGCATGCTGTCAGCAAGAGAACAGGGTCGATCAAGTGGACTTTAAAAGAAGGTAATTTGGATTGTCCTTTGGTGATATGGACATTTGCTTAGCTGCTTCCAAGTAAACATATTCCAGGGGAGGATGGTCATGTTATTTAATAAAATTAGAGTGAAGAATGGAATAAAGAGAAGAAAAGGAATTCTACTCAAAGGATATGTTTACAGCCCGAATTAGTGTGATTATCCCCTATGTTCAGATGAAGAAGCATGTCTTATCTTTTATGCTTCATTGCTTCTGGCCAGACTTAAAGAGTTTAAATAGCTCTAGGCTTTTCTATTAATAATTCTGGCTAGTTTGTCTTCCCGAAGACATGCTGCATTAGATTTAAGTTCTCATGATTAGGATCTTGTAATCATAATTACAAGAAGATATCTTCTCAACTCCTCAAATTACTCATTTGTTTTTATAGAGCCTGAAATAACTGAGGGCTGTTAAGATTTGATATTCATCCAGGTTAACCACTTTATTGGGTTGTTGTGGTGAGGGGAGTAAAAGACTGGGCTTGTTTCTCATTTAACCTCTCATGTGTCCACCTTATGATCTTCCTGGTGGTAGTTGGCAGCATGCAGCCCTACAACTAGGAAATTAATTGTATCTGATTAAGATAAAGCCATCAGATCTCAGGATTTGGGACTTTCAGTGTCATTTCTATTATTTTATGCAGTAATAATTCTCATTTGTACTAGCTTGAGTATGACTACCACGTTCTTTCATCACTGCTCTGCTACGGTTTTCCTTTGTTAAGAAAGCATTCCAAGCCTAGCAAGTGCAAGTCCCTGAGTTCAAACTCTGATACCACAAAAACAAAAATAAGAAAGTGTTTCAAAACAGTATTCTATTTTTTTAAAATGGTATTTCCTTTTTCCTTTATTTTATGTGTTACTGGGTTTTGAACTCAGGGCCTTATGCTTTATAGGCAGGTGCTCTACCACTTGAGCCACTCCACTAGCCAAAACAGTATTCTAGATGGAAAAATACTGGCTTATGTCAGAAGTTCACTCATTATTTTGTCAACTCAGTAGCAAACCTAGTTCCCATCCTTAAGTGAGGGCAGCCCAGGTACCACAGGCATCCTGCCTTGTCTGTGGGTCAATAAGAACTTTAAGCCACCAAAAGTACCAGCTCTCTGGAGTGAGTAGCCACAAGAAGACTGTAGTGCCAGCTTTGCATTGCAGGCTCGAAGATGTCATCTGTACCATCTTGCCTTCGTGGTTAAGCCTTTTAATGTTTTTAAATGAAAACAGAATCCCTTAAATTTCAGAATTTCCTATTTTGTACAAAGATGAAAGTTAACAAGTCACAAAAAGATTGGAAGAAACATTCTGGCTGTTGAAAGTTAGGGCATGTCCCTCAGTGTTGGTATTCCCAGGCAGTACGTTTTTGCCATAAGCCATTCTGCTTTTCTGCACATCTACTTTTAAATTGATCTTCTCCAAGTCTTCATTTCTACAAATAGCCTTAGCTGTATCCATCAAAACTGTGGGCTGTCTCACCTGTTACTTACTCCAATGTATAAATCTGTTATGTCCTATAATAGGGAGCTGAAAAAAATTTGCCTCTTGTTTTTTTACTCCATTTAACATGTAACCTAGATTGGCACACAAAGAAGAAAAAGGGAGACTTTGTCCTCAAGGTGCCCATGGTTTGATGGGGAGAAAAGACAAGCACACTGAGCTTCAACACAGAAAGAGTTCTGTAACTGCCCAAGGGAGGTTCTGGTAATGTGCTGGAGGCTGATGAAGTTCTGGTGTTGGAGGTGAGCTGTGGGGGGAGTGTTCAGTTTCATTCAGGTGGAAGGCTCAGGAAAGAGCAGAGGAGGCTGCAGGTCTGGGGAGCAGGGAGTGGCTGGCCCATTCAGCAGCTGAGGAATACACTGGAGGTAAAGGTGGAATGGCACAGGTTATATTGGATCTTATTGATTGAACAGGAAGTTGAGAGCTATAAACATGCTTGAGCAGGTAGGAGACTCAGCAGATGTGCTGCTTTCAAATTAATCTAGCATCAGTGAGAGGGGGATGGCTAGAGATGGGAAGGCAACCTGGAAAGGGGGACAGGGGAAAGCCAGAGATAGGAACGGTAGAATCCAGCAATTGATTAGGTGGAAGGAGCAAAGAAGAGGAGTTAAATGACACTTTAAAGAAAGAATTAAGAGAAATCTGATTAAGGTCTAATGATTTTCATAGTATTCATTATGTTCTAGGTCTTATTGTTTTGCTAAGAGTAAACTGGTCTTTTAAAGTTAAATTCCCAAAAAAGTAAAAAGTAAAAAAGTTAAATTCAGCCTTGGATGCCAGTAGCTTCAATTTATATTTCTTTCTTTCTTTTTTTTTTTTTTTTTTGGTTGGGACTGGGTTTTGAACTCAGGATTTTGCCCTTCTAAAGCAGGCTCTCTATGGCTTGAGTCATATCTCAAGTCCATTTTGCTTTGGTTATTTTGGAGATGAGGTCTCACAAACTGTTTGCCCAGGCTGACCTCAACCCTCAATCCTCCCAATATCAGCCTCCCAAGTTGCTGGGATTATACGTGTGAGCCACTGGTACCTAGCTCAATTTATATTTCTACATAAAGATTAAAGAAGATAAGGCATTGATACTCTGAGTTAGCAATTTAGTTTTAATCTTGTGGTTATAATGAAAGATCATAAAATTGGCATTTCTAAATTGTTAATATGTAACTGGACCGTGAAGACATCCAGATGCTGTTCTAGGTCTTGAGGATAGGGCAAGGGAACAAAAAAAAAAATAGAGGAAAACTCCCTTGTCTTCATTGAGTTTTCATTGTAGTGGGGAAATACAAGAAAGAAGTTCACAGTGAAAAGAGCTGTGGGAAAAATAGAGTGGGGAAGTGGAAAGGGCAGTGCCAGGTTGGGTTGGAGTTATCATTTTAAAGAAGGAAGACTGCTGAGAAGGTGTCCTTTGAGCAAGACCTCAAGAAGGCAAGGGCATCTTTTAGGGGAAGGCATTCTGGGGCAAAGGTGGGAGTGTCCTTGGCTAAAGACTGTTGAAGTCGGTGTGGCTAGAGTGGAGCACTAGGAAATGAGCTGAGCTTAGGGAGATGATGGGGACTAGACAAACAGCAGGAGGGACCCTGGTCTCCCTTTTCATAAGTTACTATAAAGGTATCCCCTGGCTTTCCTGAAACAAAATTTTTCGACATATGTCGAAATATGTGTACATACATATGTACACATTTTTTCAAAGAGATTTATTGTTCAACTAGTGATCTAAATCTGAAATACTAAGAAAGGTTTTTAAATTTTATTTTGTTTTTTGAGACAAAGACTCAAAGAGGTAGCCTAGGTTGGCCTTGTACTCTTGATCGTCTTGACTCAGTGCTGGGATTACAGGCATGTACCACCATGCCTGACTCAGAAAAATTATTTTTAATCACATATGCAGAATATGACATGTAACTGTTTAGGCCCATACTGACACTTCACCTGTGAAGGAATGCTGTAGGTGAGAATACTGCCATAGCCAAGGAGACTAGTTTTCCAAGATAGTGAACACTTCTTAGTATCATTTCATACAAAAAAAATATAGTCTTAGCAGGGCATGGTGGCACATACCTGTCATCCCAGCACTTGGGAGGCTGAGACAGGAAGATCACAAGTTCTAAGCCAGCTTGGGTTACAAGGTGAGACTGTCTCAAAAAAAAAAAAAAAAGTGGGCAGCACAGTCTTACATGACTTATACTGTAGTTATATTCTGAGAAAATTTGGTACATGATTTGCAAAAAATACTTTTATGCCTTTATGTAAAACAGACTGTAAGCTTGGATAATTAGTAAAGGTTTTTGGTCCATGTGAGCATCTGACAGAACATCAGAGCCGTGTACAGATGTGGCTCATCTCTGTGTAAGACTATCTAGTGTTCCTGGTCCCCACACTTAGGGCTGAGCATTTCCTAGTGAGTTGTGCTGTCCCCATAGTGACCACTCGCATAGCACCTGGTGGCTAGTGTAACACTTTTTTTCAGCCATTGGAGAAATCTGAGCAGAGGAGTGACGCACCGGTATTACAGATTGAGTATCTGTGTCCCCACCAAATATGTACTGTTGAATTCTTAATCTCCAGCATGATTGGAAATATATTAGGAAGTGCAACCACTGGGAGTTAATTACAAGGATGAGAACCCACAATAACATCAGTGTCCTTAGGAGAAGAGGAGGAGAGACCAGCGCTTGCTCACTTGTTCTCTCTTTTTGCCATATGAGGGCACAGAGAGTAGCAGGCTGCCTGCAAGTCAGGATGAGAGCCCTCACCAGAACTCAACTGTGCTGACAACCTGAGCTCAAAGTTTCCATACTCCAGGACTGGGAGAAATAAATGTCTTGTTGTTTAAGTCCCTCCAGTCTATGGTATTTTGCTATGGAGTCACTTGGCCTCCATTTTACGGATCAGCAGGTGCTGTGTTGAATGAGTGAACTGTTGAGGCCAGAAGAAAGCTAGAGACCAGGCAGGAGTCTGCTGCCTCATCTTAGCAAGGAAGAATGCTGGCTTGGGCCTGCCACCCAGAAGAGGGACTGAGTGGGAGAAACTTGCTAATGTAAGCACAGACCTTTAACTGATCAGAATTTATATCTGTGACTCCATTTCATGATTTCTAACTGTTTACTTTTTTTCAGAAACCAAAAAGCTGCAAGTGTTTTTGTTCCTTTTCTTTCTACAGTGGATTTGGCAGGTGCTTCTGTTCCTCAACCAAACATGTGTTACTGTTCCTAGAAATAGAGGTTTTTTGTACTAAATGGCAAATTATACCTAGTAAAGAAAATGAGCCTCATTTGTTTTCTGGAACTAATGTGAATTGTGACATTTTACTTCAGGTGCAATCTTTCAAAGCCTGATTCTGTGTGATTTTAACTATAGCAATATCATTGTCTGTCTCTGAAATTTCTCCAGTGAACAGAGTTGAACATGTTTTATTTCTGCAATTTCAGACTAAATGAAAACAAAGTGGTACTGTCATGTTTTATTTTTTATTTATTTTTTTGGCAGTACTGGGGTTTG